AGGTCAGGAAGCAACAGTTAGAACTGGACATGGAACAACAGACTGGTTCCAAATAGGAAAAGGAGTATGTCAAGGCTGTATATTGCCACCCTGCTTATTTAACTTATATGCAGAGTACATCATGAGAAACTCTGGGCTGGATGAAGCACAAGCTGGAATCAAGATTGCCGGGAGAAATATCCATAACCTCATATATGCAGAGAACATTTCCTTTCTGACAGAAAGCAAAGAACTAAAGAGCCTCTTGATGAAAGTGAAAGAAGAGAGTGAAAAAGTTGGCTTAAAACTCAACATTCAGAAAACAAAGATCATGGCATCCGGTCCCATCACTTCATGGCAAATAGATGGGGAAACAGTGGATACAGTAACAGACTTTATATTTTGGGGGCTCCAAAATCACTGCTTGAGTAAACTCCTTAGTTGGTGATGGACTGGAAGCCTTGGCGTGCTGCAGTCCATGGGGTTGCAAAGAGTCAGACACAACTGAGCGACTGAACTGATTATCCTTCAAAGCCTTTAGTTATTGGGCTGCCCATGTTCCACACAGCCATTCAGACACCAAATCACTATTTTCGTCTTACTGGACCACCATTCCCCAAGGGTACTGATCTCGTTCATCTAAGGGAGTTGGGTCACTGCCTTGTTCCTGTCTCCATCCCCGGGATGTGGATGGCAAGTGATTTACTTTTTAGTAAGAGACAAAGGAAAAGTGTATCTTGCTTTCCCTTACATTTCACAATCTAAAATATTTTCTCAAGTAGTATGAGAAAATACTGAGAAAATTTTCTCAGGTACTGTGAGACTATGTTATAATCTCACATTATCTTAACAGAGGCTGAACACATAATCTGGGATGAAAAGTCCATTAAGTCCTCCCCACTCTTTGTACTCCAAGGATGAGAAAACCGCCTACTTAAAGAATTCATCAGTGAGAAACTAGCCCCATATAACGTATTCACTGCTACATCCAACAGTAAGAGAAACTGAGAAATGGTGTCTCTAGATACACAGCCATGAACCCAGCTTAAGACGAATCACTATGGGAAAAAAGGAGAATTAACCTGGGAGAACAGATAGTAGCCTGTCATAAACAGTAAGTATCCACAGATTTTATATACATGCATTTTCCCTCAGCTAAAAAAATAAGAAAGACTCAGCCCATAGCTAAGACAGCAGGTTTAGACCCAGCTTCCAGGGACAGTGAAATTGACAGACTAGTAAATACGTATTCACACAGACATAATGAGGTCAAAATGTTCTGGTGAAATCAGAATTCTGTATTTGCATTTTATTTCCACATGACGTTCTTCTTGACAGATAAGGAGAGAGTGGATTTATCCTTTCGGGTATAAGAACAATGTAAACAATTAACATACAGCGACTTAACCCCTGGGAAACAGACACTTAAACATAAATGTAATTCACTGCAGCACTTAGGTTTCCTTGGAGACTTTAACCTAAGGTCTACATGAATCAAGGAAAACATTTTTAGATGGAACAACAGTGTACAAAAACCAGGGGTAAGTCTTCCTGTCTTAATGCTATTCACTCAAATACACAATGATTGATCAGATTACTCAGGGGGGCCACTATCTGTTGATCGCCAGCATTTCCTTAATTAAGATCAAATCAGTAATAAAAAAACTCAGCTTCATCTTGTGTACTTTATCTCATACCTAGGAACACAACAGTTCACTATCAGGCATGATGTTGAATATACTGCAAAATGCAAACTGTCAAAACTTTCTATGGGCTTCCTGTTATTTTGGCATGTCTGTTGTTTACCATATGACTGCCCAGAGTGAAGCTCTTTTTACATTAGTTCACATACGCTGGTTAACAGAAGCATAAGGAGCTTAAGAAGCATTAAGCTTCTACTTAATAAAAATGATTAAAATGGTAAATTTTATATGTATTTCACTGCAATAAAAAACAGAAAAAGTGTTTTAAGTTCCTAAGTTTACTGCAATTTGTTATACAGCAATAGAAAACAAATACAATTACTACATTTTCTTAGATGAATAAACTGCTTAGAGTGTAAATAACTTATTTAACTTTAAATGGATGATTAGTTGACAGAGATGGGGTTTGGACCCAGACAGTCAGAGGAAGAGTCCAAGATTTTAATCTCCCAATATGTATACCTGTCTTTTAAAAAATGTTGTAAATAGACTAGAGGAGGTAGTTTAATCTTCAAAAAAGGTCATGACTTTAATAATTCACCATCTTTAGGACATGAAATTAAACATATTTTCTTCTGCCTTTAGTATGTTTTGTATCTATTCATGAGGATGGGTTTTTCAAGTTTTATAATAATAAATTATTTTGCTTTCATAGGACATTATTTATAATGGGATCCAAGTAGATTAAAAACCACACTGTTTATTAAAAATACTAGTAGTGTAATGAGATAAAAACTGGTCTCAAAGTAAGAGCCAGATGATATAGGGCGAAGTATCTCTACTCACACAAGGAATAAAGTCACTATGGCTGCTCACATACTGAAGCAGCACATATTAAAAGTTTAGAATGGCTCCCTCTTGCACACAGAATAAAGTATAATTCCCTAGTCAGCCGCAATATGCAGTTTCAGCTTTACTTTCAACGACTTGTCTTCATAAGCCCTCTATTCCTGACTACTAATGATTCCAAAACACCTGGTGCTTTTCTGTGTCTATACTTCTGCTCACACTACATCCAAATGAAATTAGCTTCCTCTTTGCCTCTGCCTCTATAATTTATTCTTTAAAATTCCTTAAAGCAGAGCTCAAACTCTACCATGTTGGTAAAGCATTTCAGCACAAAAACCCCTGCTGGAAATGGTTTCTCTCTCCCCCATCTCTGTGGATGTTCAGTCTCTACACAGATTCATCATTTACTTTGTAAAATTATTAGTATTCGATTCAATTTCTTGAATATTTATGGAATTTCCAGACACGGTGCCAAACTGCAGAGAAAGCAGTGAATGACACGCAGACTCTGCCTTCAAAGAGTTCTCTCTCAGTTGATTTTAGCTATTTGAACAACAAGCACCTAAGATTTCAAAGTAACTTTTTAAAATACAAATTAGGCTTTAAAATAGGAAAATCTTTCATAATTTAATGTGAATAACAAACATTTACCTTAAAAATTGTCTGAATTTTAAACAAAAATAAACACAACTCTCTTACAGAACAAAAAATAGACCCAAGGGCTCTCAACCTATGCTCACAAGGTCAGTACTCTCCTCAGAGTCAACAAAAATTGAAAGGAAAAATATCTGGGACTGGGACACAAAACCTGAACAGGTTAGGGTTGAAACAGAAAGTGTCAGATGAGGAAATAGATTATGTTTAAAAAAATCTTTCTTCATTAAAGGTGATAAAAAAATAAGGAGGATTCATTATCAAAATATCTCGTCTCCCTAAATCTATGTATACAAAAGCAGCAATGGGTGTTTTTCCAGAGCTAGTGAGGTGGATTCTAAGTTTCATGTAGAAAAGAAACTAAAGAGGTTGTCTCTACCAAATAAAAAGCCAATCATAAATATTGTAATTACTCAACATTTAGAACAGAAAGCCCAGAACATATTATCTTGAATCAATGAGGAAAATGCCAACTTCTCAAATGTGGATTTTGTTTGAATAGATGGCCACCTGGAAAACAACTAAAATTGAGTACCTATTAACTACTGACAAAGACAAACTCCAGAGGGTCTGTGATTTACATGTAAAAAATGAGATTATAGCTCTGCTCAGGGAAGATAGAAAAGATGTACTTTACGCTATTCCTCTCCCTAACTGCAGCTAGAACCTTCCACCTTATATACGAAACCAAACGGAAGACAACTCTGAGAGGTGGAGAGAGGAGGCAGGCCAGCTAGGGAACTGGGGACCAATGGAATGAAACAGAGGTACGCTTCATGGGTTTGCTCTTTGCCTCATATATTCTAGACTTGGAGTTAATGAAGCTGGCACCCCAAAACCACCAATGACTTCAGACAAGAAAAAAAATTCCAACAAAAGCCCGCTCTCCTGCCAAAGGATCAGGACAGGGGCAGCCTAGCAAGATCAAAAACCCGTCAGATAACAACTGCTCTACCCCAGCCTAACAGCACGGAAACTGCCGTGCCCCGCCTCCTACCCGCGGTAGCAAAGGCCGAGTGGGGAACTTAGGCTCCTGTCCTTGCCAGGCTACAAAGAGGTGTTGTCAGGGAATGCTCAACAGGGAGCTGGGACTTCCAGCTCCACTGGATGGTAATAAAGGCCCCAGAGCCCCACGATGTCACTGGGAACCACTGCGGGGAGACTGGAATTCCACCTCTACCTGGAAGTAACAAAGTTCCCTCCCTACACCCCCGCCCCTCCACTGCACAGGGCTAGTGTCAGGGAAGGCCAAGGAGAGAATGAATATGCTCACCACTGTCCAGGCCCCTGTGATGCGACTGGAGGCCATATGGGGAGCAGGAATGAGGCCCTTTTATCCTAAGAGGGTCAATTTATCAAGATAATATAATAATTATAAACATGTGCACACCAAACAGTAGAGCTCCACAGTATGTAAAGCAAACTCTGGCAAAGGTGAAGGAAGAAACAGGCTTACAGTAATGTATTACCACTGTCAATAAGGTACACAGCTTCTATACAGATTAGTGAGGAAACAGAGGACCTGAATAACACTACTCGATCAACTCCAACACCCAATAATAGCAGAATACACATTATTCTCAAGTTCACATGGGACATACTCCAGCACAGATGGTATGTTAAGTCATAAAATGAGTCTCAATAAATTTAAAAACTTACTCAGTGTCTTCTCTAACCACAATGGAACAAAGCTAGGTAAAAATAAAACTATATAAAAACCAGAAAACTCACAAACACGTGGAAATTAAATAACATAATCTTAAACAACCAGTGGGCCAAAGAATAAATCACAAGGGGTATTAGAAAATACTGTGAGACAAATAAAAACAAAACACAACTTACCGGAACTTATGGGAATCAGTGAAAGCAGTGCTTGGAGGGAAGTTCATGGTTGTAAACACCTGCATTTCAAAAAAAAAGAAGAAGAATAGCTTAAGTCAATAACTTTACCCCAAAGGAACTAAAGAAAAACAGCAAACAATACGTGAAGGCAACAACATTTGCTGGGAGAGGAGTACCCTTTTGTACAGCACTCGGAGAAATCTCATCCTAATGACCACGATTACTGTCTAAATACTCATGTCCCCACATAAAGCCTAATACTCATCTACCTGTGGTCTCTCACATAAAAATGCTGCCTGAGTGCTGTCATTGATCACAACTGCATAAGTTCAGTTCTGTTCAGTTCAGTCGCTCAGTCATGTCCGACTCTCTGTGACCTCATGAACTGCAGCACTCCAGGCCTCCCTGTCCATCACCAACTCCCGGAGCTTACTAAAACTCATGTCCATTGAGTCAGTGATGCCATCCAACCATCTCATCCTGTTGTCCCCTTCTCCTGCCCTCAATCTTTCCCAGCATCAGGGTCTTTTCAAATGAGTCAGCTCTTCACGTCAGGTGGCCAAAGGATTGGAGTTTCAGCTTCAACATCAGTCCTACCAATGAACACCCAGGATTGATCTCCTTTAGGATGGACTGGTTGGATCTCCTTGCAGTCCAAGGGACTCTCAAGAGTTGTCTCCAACACCACAGTTCAAAAGCATCAATTCTTCGGTGCTCAGCTTTCTTTATAGTCCAACTCTCACATCCATACATGACCACTGGAAAAACCATAGCCTTGACTAGATGGACCTTTATTGGCAAACTGATGTCTCTGCTTTTTACTCTGCTGTCTAGGTTGGTCGTAACTTTCCTTCCAAGGAGTAAGGGTCTTTTAATAAGTTAGTGGCTAGCAAACTAAAAGGAGGCCCACAGTATGCTTCTGTATGGTCCCTGAGTTAAGACTGGGTTTTTACGTTTTTAAAGAGTTATTAACAACAAACCAAAAAAAAAAAAGAAAAGAAAAGAAATAAGTACATGTGCCAGAGAGTGTATGTGGTCTGAGACACCTAAAGTATTTACTATTTGGCCCTTTGCAGAACAAGTCTGCCACTTCCTTGGCCAAGTGATATTTTGCGGACAACCTTGAAGTCTTGGTGGTTTATAAAAACAAAGGTTTCCTTTTCACTGAGTTTATATGTCAGTGATGGGACAGTTATGGTGCAGCTCTTCATTCTATGTGTCTTCTTCATTCTGGGATCTAAGGTGTAAGAGCAGAGCCTGTCTGGCAAAGGGAATCAAGCAAAGGCTGAACAAATGTTGGCTCTTACCGTTTCCATACTTAGATGGGGCACAAATTCCCTTGGTCAAAGCAGGTCACATGGCCAAGTCTTATGACACTGCAGCAGGAGAAATACATCTCATCTCCAAGAAGCATCATTCAGAAGAGGCTTTTACTAAGGGGCCCAATAGAGAGAGCGCAGTGAGTAACCAAAAGCAACCACACAGCATATTGCAAAAGGTTAAGTGGAGACAGCGTTAAAAGTGTGCTAGTTGCTCAGTCGTGTCCGACTCTCTGTAACCCCAGGGACTGTAGCCCGCCAGGCTCCTCTGTCCATGGCATTCTCCAGGCCAGAATAATGGAGTGGGTTACCTTCTCCAGGGGATCTTCCTGACCCAGAGAGCAAACCAAGTCTCCTGGCTTGCAGCAGGATTCTTACCTGTCTGAGCCATCGGGGAAGCCCAGGTGGATGTAAAGCCTGCTCAATCACCACACTTTGAAGAAGGGTAAATGCAGCAAGTGACTTTAGAGGTCAGTAAGCTAAATCCACATGCACTTTCCAGGGTAGCAACTAAACAAATAGAAACAGACAAAACTTCTAAACCAGTAAATATTTAAATGACAAAAATAAAATAAAAAGCAGCTTAGGAAAAAAGGAAAAAAAAAAACCAACAAATATGTCGAATGTACAAAGTAAGACAGAAACTTTAGCTCCAAAATCTTGGTGATTACTTTAAATGTAAATGTGCTAAATGCTCCAGTTAAGGGACAGTCTCTACCAGTGCTGTTTTTACCTTGGGGTCTGAACTAACCTACAGTTCAGTGGACACTGTGTGGCTGTGAGCAATTTATATTAGTGGAAGTCTGATTATAGTGCACCAGTGAAAACCATAGTTAATATTTATTATATTTATCAATCATCTATAGCAGGCACTACATTAAACATGAATTAACTCACAGCAACCTTATGTGGCTATCATCCCTGTTTTATAAATGAAGAAACTGGTACTTGTAAGTTGGGAGTCCCTAGCCAGATTCACCCACAGAACCTGAGATAGGTTTGAGCCCAGGCAGTCTGCTCAAGGGCTCATATTGTAGCTACCATGCTCTGCTGCTCACATATCTTCTAAGCTTGTGGTTCTCAAAAGAGGGCACACATCAGAATCTCAGGAAGGCTTTCTCAATGATCCCCATAGCTCCTAATTCAGTAGATGTGGAGGGGACCCTGAGAATCTGTACTTCTGTTGTATCCAGGGATGCCGCTGATGCTGGTCCGGGGACCACACTTTGAGAACAGCTGCTCAAAGGATGCAGGAGCGAGCTCTAGCTCAGATCTGTGGTTCTCCCTTCACCTTCTGAACCAGGTGTCTGTGTAATCACGCATGCTAAGTCGCTTCAGTCGTGTCCGACTCTTTTGTGACCTCCTGGACTGTAGCCCACAAGGCTCCTCTGTCCATGGGATTCTCCAGGGAAAGATACTGGAGTGAGTTGTCATTTCCTCCTCTGGGGGATCTTCCCAACCCAGAGATTGAACCCGAGTCTCTTCATCTCCTGCATCGGCAGGCAGGTTCTTTACCATTCGGGCCACCTAGGAAAGCTGTGTAATCACATTCACCCTCAAACAACCAGCTAGATGCAAACCTGGCCCCCCCCCAAAAAAATCACATTCACGTTCAGTCCATGACTGGATGCCATATGGCTCCTGTTTTCTCTTCTCTAACATTTTTGATAATTAACGGTTACATAACAACTTGTTAATACTCATAACAGCACACAGCAGTGGAGCAACTCTTGTTTTCACCACCTGGCTCCTTTCAAGTTCCTGCAGCTCAAGTCTCCACACTGTTTAAGTACAGATGGACCCCTGAAGCACAGCGAAGCGACAGGTATCAGGTACGAAGGGAAGCTTGTCTGCCTTTCCAATACTGCTTTTCCACGGAGCCTGGTACTTCTCTTCTTCCTCTGGGGCATGGAAGCCTCACAAGAATCTCCACTGGGGCCGCTGTGTGACTTCTGAAATAATTTATTTCAGACAAGTTAGCAAAGGGCTCCTCTGGCATCTTGCTGATGCCACTGCTCACTCTGACACCTCGCCACCCACTCTTCTTAGTTCTTCCTCCCTTTTCTGAGAAATACATGAGATACCACAGAGATTTACTGGCCTAAGCTCTGCATGCTGTCCCCCTTGCCTCTGCAAATACGCCTCTGATTCTCACTGACGCTTCTTCTTAAAGGAGCCTACTGCTTTTGTTCACTGAATCCTCTGCTTATATGATGAATAGAATGACTACAAAGTGACTGCAGGGCTAGGAGCTTACACTTCTGTGCTGACAGTTTCAGCTTTTAGACTAATGGTGTCTGCAACATATTGCCTGACCTGGCACACAGGTAACATACACCTGCACTGAGTACTTTAAACAGTCCACATGTTTAATTCTCATTTCTCATTTACCCAAAGGTCTGTAGGGTCAAAGTTATGGTTTTTCCAGTAGTCACATACAGATGTGAGAGTTGGACCGGAAAGAAGGCTGAGTGCCAAAGAATTGGTGCTTTCGAATTATGGTGCTGGAGAAGACTCTTAAGACTCCCTTGGACAGCAAGGGGATCAAATCAGTCAATCCTAAAGGAAATCAGTCCTGAATACTCATTGGAAGGACTGACGCTGAAGCTCCAATACTTTGGCCACCTAATGTGAAGAGCTAACTCACTGGAAAAGACCCTGATACTTGAGGGCAGGAGGAGAAGGGGGCGGCAGAGGATGAGATGGTTGGATAGTATCACTGACTCAATGAGTTTGAGCAAGCTCCAAGAGATAGCAAGGATAGGGAAGCCTGGCATGCTGCAGTCCATGGGGTCACAAAGAGCTGGACATGATTTAGCGACTGAACAACAACAATTACCCTATCAGGTAGGTACTACTATGTCAATTCTACAGATGAAGAAATCAAGGCCTGGAAAGATTAAGTAACCAAGGTCACACACCTAAACAGCAGAGCAAGGTTGAAAACTCAATGAAAACCTAAATACATTTTACTTCAAAGCACTCAACTGCTTCCCATTTAACTGCTGGCCCCATTAGCAGTGAACTCACACAGTCACTGTCTACACACTGACTCCAAATTCTGGAGCATCTTAAAACAGCCCTCTCTTTCCATTTCATCATCATTGCCATTTCAATGTTTAGGGCAGGGACTTTCACATCTACAGACAAAGACGTAGGTGGGGAAAGTGACTCCATTTATTAACATTATGGCTGCCCGAGGACCACTTACAATTCTATCCCCTCCTTATCCCCAGTATCCTCTGAAGGCTTCATCTGGCCATGACAACAGAACTGCTGGTTTCAGTTTCCTGCCTTCAAATATTCTAGCCCCATGGGCCGGCGGCTGTTATTTCCCACTATTGGAGGTTTCTGACAACCGTGTTTGCTGGTGCTTCTCCAGACAGGGAAGGGAGGAAATCTATCCTGAATTTTTAGAAGGGCCTTTAATTAGTTTCATATCCAAGTTGACATTATTCATTTTTCCTTAGCAAAATTACATGTTGCTGGCAGGCAGGTAGAGGAGGAAGCTGCCTGGGCCTCTCATTTCGGTTGTTCGCTCTGTTTCCCAGAGACCCAGTTTCATGTTTTCAAAACTTGAATAGTAAAAATCAAACTTACCAGGAAACACAACACCCTTAAAAGAAAACCAGGGGAAACCAGATACCTTCCTTTGCAATGGGATCTCACCAAGTTTCCTGATTATGTCTGATTTCAACTTTTAAAAGCCACCATAGATTGCGGTGTTTATTTTCCATGTTTCCATTTCTGACATATGACCCTCATTTGGGTGAAAAATCAGCTTTCCGTCTTATCCCTTTGAGTGAACCTCCTGCTACTACAAAAGACAAATGAGGAAAAGTGGGCTACATTCATGATCAAAACTGAGAACATGCATAAAATCATGCTGTTCTGTATAAGCTTGTATTCTACAATTTCTTAACCCTTTATTGAAGTAAAACACACAGAGAAAATGCACAAAATGTAAACCATCATTTTAATGCATTATCACAAAAGAAAAGTCTGTGTCCTCACCAAGACCTAGAACACAGCCAATCTCTTACGTTCTCCCCACTTACCACCCCTCCTCTCCTTCCCAAAGATCTTGACCTCTGCTAACGTAATTTAGTTTTGCTGGTTTTTAACTTTATAAAAATTGAATCTTATAATGTGCATTCTTTTGTGTCTGACTTCTTTCACTCAGGAGTGTATCTGTGAGATGTATCACACAAGTGTTACATGTTGTAGTAATTCATTTTTACTACAGTATAGCATTTTGTTGCTGATCACACTCTTTCTTTATCCAGTCTGGTGCTGAATGATATCAGGGTTGTTTCCTGTTTAAGGTTCACCCTAGTGATAATGCCATGAACATCCTGGCACCTGTTCATGTTTGCATGTATTACCACAGGGTGTACATCGGGAGTGGAACTGCTGGGTTCTAGAGAATCTGTGCACACAACTTTATCAAATAATCTGGAACTGTTTCCCAAAATGGTCAGACCAATTTATACACCCACTGGTAGGTATGAGCGTTCCCCTTATGCCACATCATTACCAACATTTAATACTGTTGTTCCCAGGTGCTGGAAGGGATCCTTCACTTTGCTATCGAACTGACGTTTACGGAGCCTCTGCTGTACATGACAACAGGAAGAACAGCCTTTGTATGAGTCCTTTCCCCAGTAATTTCAGAGACTCCAGGGAATGCTTGCACATCTTATGGATATTTCATGGTTGTCAACACATGAAACATGGCCTACATTTTCTCTAGACTAGCCCTCCCTCCACACCCTGCAGGTTTCCTCTTTTGCAACCCCAAGGACTATAGCCTGCCAGCCTCCTTCTGTCCATGGAATTTCCTGGCAAAAATACTGCAGTGGGTTGCCGTTTCCTATTCCAGGGGTTCTTTCTGATCCAGAGAGTGAACCTGTGTCTCCTGCATCTCCCGCATTGGAAAGTGGATTCTTTACCTCTGTGCCACTTGAAAAGCCCAACATTCTGTATTGAAAGTGTATTTCAAAATTCCTGTGGTTTGAGAGATATCTTTATCCAGCTTGATAACAGGAACCCCTTTAAAGCGGTTTGTTTCTCATCTCTCATAACCTTCATGCTCATACATACTATCACCTTGAAGAGCCAACCAATTTTCTACTGGACTCAGGCATGACAGACTTTCCACAGGGAAGGGGAAGACTGAAATCTGCTATTGTTTTATCTGTGTGGTTTCCTTGAGACAAGGACGACACATGATAGCAGGTGCCCTGATCCAAACTGGCTCTGGGGCAACAGCACTAGTGGCAGCCGCTGTGGGTGTACAGGGATGTTTGAAGTTGGAGGAATGAATACAGAGTGCCTAACAGGTATTGTCTAAGTGATTGTGACATAATTTATGGTCCAACTGTGAAACTCCAATAAAGCCCATAAATCCAGGCCAGTGGCAAGGAAGCCCCAGACGCAGGGCCACTCTACCCATTAAGTACACAGGCCTCAGTGAATTTATGGTAGCTTTGTCTCTGACTCCTTTCTCC